ACTTTAGATCCCAAAGAGCATGTTGCTTATTATCCCATCATAGTTTGTTCATAGAGCTTTCATGTCAATCAGGTGCTTCTCTTACATGATATTTAAGGAACTGACAGGAAAAACAATGTATTTTGGCAATTGAAGTTTAAATGTGTCCTTGTTATGTTTGACTTCCTTGTTGTCTTTTGTAAAGTAAAAGTGCATGGTACTAATTGTGAACTTGATCAGATCTAGAATCAAGCCATAGGCAAGCTTCCAGACGTATCTGTGAGAAAGCTCTTGGTTAGGTTTGCCTTTGTGTACGCCTGTACGAGATTGCCTAGGTTAGGTGGGAAGATCCTCCCACGGGAGCTGGCATCATTCTTTTGGTTAGGGTCTTGAACTGTATAAAAGAGACAGTGAGCTAAGTACAAGCAAACACTCATCTCTCCTATTGCCTGACGGTGGATGCATTGTAACCACCTCCATCAAGCCTTTGCTGACATGCCCCCACCATGAGGGCCTTCAACCAGAAACAGTGAGGCACAACAAGCTTTTCTCCCTATATTGCTTTTATTAAGATTATTTTTTATCACAGCAAGAGGCAGGAAACTGTGACCCAGAGAGATCATAGTCTGAGCCATCAAGCACCTTGTAGTTCTTTCTACATGGTCTTGGAGAATATAAAAAAACAGGAAAAACCTGTCCAGTATTTTTAGGGAAATCATCAAAAACGACATACTGCAACTTAAATGGAATGCCTAGGTTTGACTGTCATTTGGTTTCTTGAAAACACCATCTAATTCATGATTTCTTTCTTCTAGATGTGTAAGTCTTTAATGCTGAGATTTGTCACTAGTTCCCTGTGTAAAGGTCTAGCCTGACCATCAGGGCCCATACGCAATACTCACTGGATCTAAAGTAAACTACTTGACAGAGAAATGGGGTCCTTTATCTCTCTTGATTCTCACATGTATGACTCTTTCAAGAAAAGATCAAAGAAAAAAAGTACAAGGCAGGCATTATACTTCCTCAAATTCCATCCCTCGAATGATGGAACTCCGGTTCTTCCTATGTCGGGAAGTATTTACTTGGCAAACCTTTCTCTCGCTTTCAGTGCAGAAGATCCCAAACACCTCGGAACTGCCCTGACCTTGTAGGAAAAATTGCGAGTAGAAAGGCAGTGGATATCTCTGTGCTATGCTTCCCACAAGAGTCCACTTCCCTCTCAGACAGAGACACAGGAAGCCCTGACCTAGTCTGGATACCACAAGCCATTAATAAATAATGTTACATTCTGCTTCACAAGGCACATCATGTGTCAAGGAGAGACTTATTGGCCCTTAAAGGTTTCTAAAGAGATAGTTCATTGGATAAGATGGTTGAGCATCATGAGGACCTCATATGGAAATTCTTGTATATCAATAGTCAGATGTGGACCCAGCAGTGGTGGCACACGCCTTTAATCCCAGCACTTAGAAGGCAGAGGCAGGCGGATCTCTGTGAGTTCAAGGCCAGCCTGGTCTACAAGAGATAGCTCGAGGACAGACTCCCAAGCTACAGAGAAGCCCTGTCTCAAATATTATATATATAATATAATATATATGTATAGGCATACGGGGCTCTGTAACCCTCTTTGATTTGCAGGTGGAGGAAGAAGATTCTGGGTCTTATAAGGCAGGTGCCCCTGGACTTCCAATGTCCAAATGAGGAGCAGAAGAAGGGAGAACATGAGCAAGGAAGTCAGGACCACAAGGAGTGCATCCACTCATTGAGACGATGGGACTGATCTAATGGGAGCTCACCAAGGCCAGCTGGACTGGGAGTGATGGAGCATGTGGTCAAACTGGGCACTCTGAATGTGGCTGGCAATGAGGGCTGACTGAGAAGCCAAGGACAATGGCACTGGGTTTTGATTCTACTGTATGGACTGACTTTGTGGGAGCCTGGTTTGTTTGGATGCTCACCTTCCTAGACCTGGATGGAGTGGGGAGGACCTTGGACTTCCCACAGGGCAGGGAACCCTAACTGCTCTTAGGACTAGAATGGGAAGGGGAGGAGGAGGGGGATGGAAAAGGGATATGGGGAGGAAGTGGAAATTTTTAATAAAAAAAAGGCAAAAGAGTAAAACAACATAAAAATAAGTAAATAAATAAAGCAGGTGCCCTTCATCACACTCTGGCCTCTGTGTATGTATACATGGTGTATGTGCACATGTAACCCCCGAACATACAGACATGTCCAGATGCATACACACATGTATGAATGCGTGCGTGCGCACAGACACGCGCACACACACACACACACACACACACACACACACACACACACACACTGAAAGGTTACTGAGAAAATTGCCACTTATTCATATACTATTTTCCTCTCTCATGAAGTCCGTAAGATCTCAACTATTTTAAAAGTAAATTTGGTTAGAAATTTAAGGGAAGAAAGATCAATAGTGGTCATTTTGGCTTTTTTAGTCATCTCACTCTTTCCAGGTGGAAAAATGTGAGAACAAATAAATTTTTAGTCCATTTGAAAGGCACACTAAGAGATTCAATTCTTTCCAAAGTGTAGGAAAACCTCCTGGAGAAAGACTCGTAGGCTGATCTTCTGACAGCTGTGCCTCTTAAGCTCTCATTTAAATTCCTTCCACTTGATCCAGCACGTGGGAGACGTGTGTGAAATAATACAGTTCCTCTTCTCACTTATGACTGGGTAACGCAAAAACTCCAATCAGCCCTTCTCTCAGCCAAAAGTGTGTGCTAATGTACTGATGTGTGCTTAATAGTAGAAGCATTCTTGGGTTCTTAGAGGACCCACCACCGGGTCGGTATCAACCATAGTGAAACTGCATTTGGAAACCAAGGCCTACAAATCTCTGTGTTCAAACATCTTATCAATCAGCAGGAGACAGCTCAGTGCCAGCTCACATTTTTATTCTCCATATAAGGAGGATCACGGTTTAAATTTTATGACTGTGAACATGAAAAATATTATTACTCAAAGTGAAGAACTCACTGCTATTAGCAGAAATCTAATAAATATTAGAAAACTCCTCTGGCTGCAGATTTACTCACAACTTTTACAACCACATAGGATGAGGCCCTTCACTCAGTATGGAGGGAATGCATATTTATTAATCAGCTTCCCAATGCTGCACTAAGTGTTTCAGGTACTTCTTTCTCGTTAATGGCTGCTATAGTCTTAAAAAGTCATTTTTATGGTTGTGCATGTGTGTGTTTGTGAGGGAATGGTGCAAATGAACACACATGAATACCAGAAGACAGACTTAGGTGCCACCCTAAGGAACACAATCTACTTCCTCTGAGACAAGGTCCCTCGTTGGCCTGGCGTTCAATACTTAAGCTAAACTAGCTGCCACGCAAGGTCCAGGAATCCACTTGTCCTCAACCACCCAAGACTGGGATTACAGTGTATGCCACCTCGGCCAGCTTTTTATGGTGTCTTTGGATCAAAGTATGGTCTCTGTGCTTCAATTATAAACACTCTTCTGACCGAGACATCTCTGCAGAATTAATTCTGAAAAGCAGAATTAATGCACTCGAGTGAGCAAGAGCTGCCCTTGTTTCTTGGCATACAGTGAATGGAGTGATAGGTTGCCATGTTCAAAATTAGGTTACAGAAAGACTATTGCTTCTGTTTTGGGTTTTGTCACTATTATTATTGATTGACAGTTTGACAGAATGTAGAATAACTCAGCGCATGTCTGTGAGAGAGTTTCTACACTGTGTTAACTGAGATGGGAAGCCCCACCCTCAGTGTGGGAGGCACCATTCCACTGACTGGAGTCCTACACACTGAATAAAATAAAGTGAGCTAAGCATTCATATCCCTCTGTTTCCACACTACAGATTCAACGTGCCCAACCAGCTGCCTCAAGGTCCTGGCATCAGGACTGTGCTCTCAAGCTATGAGCTGAAATAAATTCTTCACTCATGAAGTTGAGGAGAGAGACACTGTCTCAAGAGAATAATTTGGGAAGTCCTAGAGTAGGACATGAAATGACCTTCTGTTACCCTGCCCTGCCTTCCATACATACTTGAGGCTTTCCCATGGCCTGACAAGACTGTGGCTATTGTAATATATTATTAATATTTAACTTAATTTTGTCTAGTCTATTTTGGTAATAAAATTTATAGACCAGAGGGAGAATGGCATCTAAACAGAGAATAATACATTGTAGTGAAATCTGTGGTGCCTGATGGTTCACAGCACAGCAACAGGGTCTGTTGACCAATGCAGCCTCAGCCAAGGACACAAAAGGCAGAGAGAGAGAGAGAGAGAGAGAGAGAGAGAGAGAGAG